CCTCCAAGGAGCGGTCCGCGCCGTGACGCGAATCCCAATGCGCCCGGCCGCTCTCAGGTTCCTCCGAGCCAGGTAGCCTCCCACCCCAGACCATAGAGGACAGCTGCTGGAGCACCCTAAGGTCCTGTCTTTGGACAAGGATCCTTGCTGTAGTGCACACACACTATGCCACGCCCGAGTAGTGGCGCTCCGGAGGGACTTCCTGCAGCGCTTCTAGCTATGCAGGCCTCACCTCCCCAGCAGCCTGCCTGCTCCTCAGTCTAGTCCCCAGAAGCAGGCAGGAGGTAAGGATTCGTCATTGTTCCCAGGGCTCAGGCACTGGGGCTGGACAGAGTTCATGAGCAGGCAAGTGTCCCCTTGTCCTTCATTGAGAGTGATAGCATGCTGATCAGAGGGGCCGGACTTGAGAAGCAGAAGTCTCATTGTCCTGAGGGATGACATGCCCCTGTCCTTGGCATCTGTTGACCCACCCTGAATAGATAGGCCACCATGAGGGGGACCAGTGATGATGAGGTCCTGGGGCTCCTGGCTGGAGGGAGGGGCTCCAGAGCGATCTGTCTTCCTTACACTTACAGACTCTCACTGGAATCTACAATGGATGAAATGGAACACCCTACAGGACCAACTACATGTTCCTGCATTTAAGGCAAATAGGGGAAAGAAAACACACGGTGAAAAACCAAAGGTGTAGTTTTAAAGAGTTAGGCCCTGGACAGAGTCCCCAGAACAGCAGGACCAGGGTGCCAGGGCTGGTTGTAGAATCTGTGTCACTGTGCACTTGAGGGTTTTGTGGCAGTGATGAAACTTAGAACTCACTGGTGACAATATATACAGGGCGCAGCTCATGAGTATCCTCACCTTGTCTCTCTTCTCAGTGACCTTTTGTCAGGCCATCCTGGGACTAGCAGCCTTTTGCCCACTTGAAGCTGACTGAGAAATTGCCTTATCTGGAAAAGACCTCAAATGTCCCTTCTCCAGGATTGAGATGGCTTCTCCCAGTGTTGGAAGAGCCCATTTATTTTCAGGCCTGAAGAAAAGGCTTGGTTGCAGTTCAGAACCAGCCAGCAGCAGAAAGGACAAGACTGGAAACCTGGTGTCATGAGTAAAAGAATGTTCACAGGTTTCTGCCACCAGAAAGGTCTGGGAAGCAACTGGGGGCAGGGCAGGCCCATCCAGAGCTGGGTCCCAATTCTCCCAGGTACTTCTCCACAGTGACTTAGAGCTTCTACTTCAATCTTGGCCTCCTCAACTGGCAATGGGCAGGGAACTGTGTGGGGAGAAGGCTGAGAATCCTCCCTGGAGAGCTTGTTCCTCCACGACCCTAGCTGAACCTGGAAAGCCCAGGAACACTAGGCAACTTTACCTTTCTCCGAGGGTTAAGGCCCAGGACATATACTTCCTCTTTGGGTTCCTAGCTCTGAAGAACCTTAGTTTGGAGGTAGATGTCTCTGTAGCTGTGCTCAGCTTTTGCCAGAAGCCCACTGGCAGGTCAAGTGGGGGAAGGAAGAGGTGTCCCAGCTCCTTTGGGAAGGGGGCTCCCACCGATGAAGTCTCTGGCATCATCTGATATGTGGAAGGGCTGTGGCATGGATGTCTGAGGACCAACCCTCATGCAACTAGGAAGCTTGCAAGGACCTAGGTGAGACCTGGAGGTGGTAGCTTCTGCTGGTTTTAGAGTGCCCTCTTGTGGCCAAATGATTTAGGCCACCAGGATCCAGGTGCCTTCCTCATCCACAGCTCATAGCCTCATTAGAGGATTCCCTATTAGAGGATTCACAGACTCAGGACAGAACTGTGAACTGGCATCAGGTAACAGCTGCCTCCGCCTGCTGAGGTTTTGTGGCAGGCCACTCCTTCTGATGCCCTTCTTGGGCCTTTTCTTATTCTGCTCAGAAGTGGAAGGCCGGGGCAGCTGTTAAGGATCGACCAGGAAGGATCTGGGGGCAGCATTATCTGGCTAAAACAGGCACAGACTTTTTAGATAATAATGCCCCCCTGAAGAGGATGGAGCTAGTTGGGACATACACCTAGTAGGATGTGATACCTTGAATGGAAGTCTGTGGATCCGAAGAGGCTTTGTCAACACTAAGGTCTTTGACTGCTGCGAGATTTTGGCCTCAGGAGTTAAAGGGAAGAGGCACAAACAGAAGGTGTCAGAGTCCTTGGTGATGGTGTTGTTTATCATCCAGCTTCCCACTCAGAGTAGGCCTGGTTCAGGTGTCACTGGGACACAGTAACACTGGCCAGTTGGATAACAGTCTCCTAGGCTGGCTTTGGCCTATTCTGGCCACATGTGCAAGCTAATGGGGATCTGCCTAGGAACTGTATGTCCCTTCTGGCTCTAGACTTCCTTGCAAAATGTTAACAAGGACTGAAAAGGACCTCCTGGCAGAAGCCATTGTCTTCTCCAAAAATAGTGTCATGCCTGGCAGGAGCCATCTTCTCCTCTGAAGACAGTGTCATGCTGGCAGCAATTAGGCCTGGGTGTCTGGCTCCTCTGCCCTCAGAGGCCTCTGGGCCTCGGCCTCCTGCTCTCCAGGTACCTGCAAGGCAGGGAGGGTTAAAGAAAAGTTCTAGGGGTCTTGATGAAGGAGCCCAAAAAACAGGAAAGAGGAAAGTGGTAGCCCAGAGGTAAGTCAAGGCAGCAGAGAAGGCCATATGGGACAAACACCTGTAGCTGGTGTCTCACCTCCCAGTAAATCTGGTCTTCGAAGCATTGGGAGTCTGGAGGGGAGTCCAGGAAGGGCAGCTTCAGCAGGAGCCCTGGGTGCCATAGGAAAGCAAAAATAAGGTTCTCCTTCCCTGCTCAAGGGGCACAGGTTGCTAAGCTTGAGGCAAGGCAAACCCAAGCCTATCCAAGGGCTGTTGAGTACCACCTTTCTGAGAAGGTACAACCCTGCAAGGTGGTTTCACCCAAGTCACCCACAAAGAAGCGTGAAGGAATTTGTTTGGTGTTCGAAGTCATATTGTGATTCTATCATGAAGCATAGTTGATGATCCCCCACCTGGGAGGGGCCCAGAGGATGTTTGCTGCATAAAATGTGACCTGGGAACTAGACCGTAGAGAATGAGACTTTCAGGATGAGGTTACGTGTGAGAGGGTAGGGATGTTGCATCAGGTTTTGTTCATTTTTGTTGTTGTTCTTGTTTTTGTTTTTTTGTTTTTCAAGACAGGGTTTCTCTGTGTAGCTCTGGCTGTCCTGGAACTTACTCTGTAGACCAGACTGGCCTTGAACTCATAGAGATCCTCCTGCCTCTGCCTCCTGAGAGCTGGGACTAAAGGTGTGCACCACCATCACCCGGCGCCTCAGGTTTTGTTCTTAAAGCAGATATCAAGAGGAACTGCCTGACCTAGGGCCAGTGAACAGACAACTTCTACAGAAGGCTTTGTGTGCTGGTCCAGAGTAAGCTAGCTGCTCAGAGAAGGTTGAACTGGCCCCTTCCCGGCAGCTGGGGTTGGACTGCCCTCTAGTGGCAGAAGGGAACAGCACATGAAGGTCAGACCCCCATAACCAAAGGACTAGCCGTCTTTCCTGCTGGAGGATACAATCTCCCACCAGCACCTCCTCTCTGGGAGGTCATGCTGCCCCCTCGCAGCACAGGCAGGTGTTCTGGAAGGATCTTGGTGGAAATGAGACTACATGAAGGACACAGTATCTCTTGCTCTTCCTCCTGGGCGCTCGTGCTTGGGTCTCTCACCTACCACCCTGCCCAGCTAAAGCCACTCACCTCCAAGGCTGCCACCCACGGAGGCAAACACCAGTGTGACAAACATTCCAAAGAGCTGATAGACGGCCTGAGACGTGGCACTACGCTGGCCTTGGGCTATAAGTGGAAATACATTCTGCAGGCTGAAAGGAGACCAGAGAAAGAAAGATGGGTATGCAACAGGCAGCCCAGGCGGGTCACCAGATATGGGCAGCCAGAGGGTGTCCGGGGATCCCCACTGTCTGTCACCCAAGCTTCTGCTCAGCCAGACCTCACTTTTGCCGTCCTTTCCTAAGCCAACCCCCATGTACTTTTCAGAACCCAGTTAAGGTCCCTTTGCCTGCCTGCTCCAAGCTCACAGTGTGAAAAGTAAATTCCATGGGTCATTGTCTCTTACTGGTCCTGGAGGAATGAATGCTCAACACTCTTGATCATTTTTTTCATGATCATCCATGGCACTGACCAGGGGGTCAGGCCTGGAAAGGTCGTCCACTCTCACCGTATGGTGGGAGAATGGCCAACGCATGAAAACAGATGGGGACTTGTTTCTTGGCTCTCAGAGGAGAAGGAAGGTCATTCCAGAGAGGTTAGTGCAGACTCACCCATCTCCATAAACTTCATGGGTGGCTAGCCAAGCCACCAGGACTCCCAGGAGGGCCCCCAGGACCCCTGGCATCCCATGGAGGTTGTGGACACCACATGTGTCTTGCACCTTGAATCTGGATTCGAGGACAGGCTGGAGGACAAATTGGATAATCAGGCGTGGGCAATCCACCTACCCCGACCAGGGACTTGGTGGGGAAGTACCAGGAGGGCTGGGAACCCTGTGTCTCTGGTGCATGCTCCTTCCCTAACATGTTTTTTTTCAGGTCCTGGGAAGCAACCATACCGTAAAAAACTTGTACCCCAACGTGGAGACCGTCCCAGCCAGGAAGCCAGCTGCCACAGCCCCAAAGGGAGTCAGCATCATTTCACTTGATGTCCCCACCACAACCCCTCCAGCCAGTGCTGCGTTCTGGATGTGGACCTAAGGGGACAAAAAAAGGGCAAGGTGTCTTTTCAGATCATTGCACCCACACACACTCCAGCCCCACCCATAACAGTGGCATCTACTGCTTCTAAAGTCCCTTTGTCGTGTAGCAGCCACTCACTCTAACGCCACTCCCCTGCTTGGAGATGGAGGTTCAGGGCTTGCCCTGGAGACCTCCATGTAGGCTCTTAGACATCTTTTCCCTTTGCCAGGCTGCCCATCCCCATACCATGTCCAGTCGGCCATCCCTGCTGACAAGGGCTGACAAAGCAAAGGTGCTGAGGGTGCTTGCAGTGAGTGAGTAGTACGTGTTGAGTGCTGTCCGATGCTGCCCATCCCCCAGTGCTGTGGGCGCAGAATTGAAGCTGGGCCAGAAAATCCACAGGAAGATGGTCCCTAAACAGTGGGTAGTCACAGTGAGCATTTAATAGTGAGTAGCCCCGTCACCAGGGGGCGCTGCACAGCAGATAAGGTTTTTGGTTTTTTGTTTGGTTGGTTGGTTTTTGGTTTTTTGTTTTTGGAGACAGGGTTTCTCTGTATAGCTTTGGAGACCTTATATGTGAAGAGTTGCTGAGGGCAAGGAGAGCTCAGCTCTTTTGCTGTGAACTTAAGATGAGCAAGAAAACCAAACCAGACTTGCTTATGCAAGAGCAGGCACCCAAGGCCATATTCAACACCCCATAGGAAACATGGACTCCAGAAGGCAGGCTGTGAGGACAGAGCCACCAGAGGCGGGAACCTGGAGGAACTTGCTTCCTTGCCTCACGGTGCAGGGCTTCTTGGAGAGGAGGAGTCCTTGGGATGAGAAGGCCAGCTCAAGCACAGGTGACCAGAACTGGCAGGGGCACAGAAGAAAAAGGACTGTGCAGTGGGATGAAGGGTCTGGCTCCACATGTGTGGGCTGTGTAGCCCAGGAAGGTTTCAAGCAGGGCTGAGGTAGACTTGAAAGGCCCCAGGGCCTGGTATGGGCTTATCTGTACCCCAGCAGAGTTGTAAGTTAGGGGCAGTGATGAGCATAGATCTCAGGGCCCTCAGAAAGCAAGTAGGAAGGACCCAAAGAATGGCTGGCAGGGCCAGGAGACCTTCCCCAGGCATGTGCTCTGTAGCCCATGCCACTTCCCCTCAGCAGGCCTCACCAATCACTGCAAAGAGGTCAGAATGGTAGACAGAGCTCTGGCGTTGCCTGCTCTTCTCCAGCTGGGATCTGTACAGGATCCGTGAGAGGAACAGGCCGAAGTAGGCCCCAAATGTGTGAATGGTCATGGATCCTCCAGCATCTCTCACCTGGGGACAACAGACATTGTGAGGCAGCCCCTGCCCCCACCCACTTTTCCTCTCCCAGAGCTGGACCAACACCAGATCTCACCCACTCCTGGTTAGACTTACCCCCAGGAGCCTGAGCAGTATAAACTCGTTGACACTAAACAGCACTGTCTCCAATAGAGCCATTAGCAGCAGCTGGGCTGGCCCGGTCTTGCCCAGAACAGCCCCGAAAGAGATAAGCACGGCACCGGCACAGAAGTCAGCATTGATCAAACTGCAGTTTGGGAGGTAGAAGGATAGGAAAGTGGTTCCCAAGTGACTCCAGGCCCCATCAGGCACAGGGGCACAGCGGGGCACACAGGGCAGGGTGAGGAGAAACAGCACTAGGGCACCTCTCCTTGGGTGCCACCCACCCTTGGAGAGGAGGGAAGAGGCCCCGTGAAGTGAAAGGCTAAACCCACTCTAGGTTGAAGAAGCAGGAGACGGGAGGAGCCATTCTCACTGGCTGCCAGTGCTCCGAGGAGGAGGAGTTCGGGTGAGAGAGGCCTAATGGGAGGGGTGTGTGAATGTGGGACACACAAGTCAGACAATGAGAAGGGACAGTGGCCTGGAGAAGGTGGTTTGGGGGCAAAGTAGGGGTCACTTAGCAGACTTGAAGATCAGAGCTTGAGCAGGCACCGTTTGGGGAACAGGGCCTTTGAGGGAGCCAGGGGCTTACTGCTGCCCACCTCTCCAAACCAACATGGATGTGGCCGCCATGGAAAGAGTGGAGGAAGCCTTGGACCAGTGTGGCCCACTGCAGGGTGAAGGTGGCCACGAGGAAGGTAAACCCCACACTGCTGAAGCCGTACCGCTGCAGGAAGACCATGAGGAAGCCAAAGCCTACAAAGACCATGGCGTGCACATCCTGGAAGCCTGTGGGTGTGCAGGGGAGGGGATGGAGGAAAGGGAGAAGTAGTGTCATGAGGCCTGCTCCAGTCATACCCATCAGCCAACAGACACCCTGCCAGTGCCTGGCTCCTCTAGTCAGGACTGTCTTAAAGCAGTACCGTGCCTGTAAAATTCCCAGGCTTAGCAGCTGAACAAAGCATCCAGCCTGGAGCAGCAGGGCCCCCGCCATCCTTGCCACCCCTGATCAAAGGAGGAACTAGAACTTCCTGCTGAAGCATTGGCTCACCTTCTCCCTGACCCGTTTACTCACCTGAGAGGGTGGCTCAGTCAGTTCTCTCTGCTGCTGTAGCCCTGTCCCCTCTACACACAAGATTCTCCTTCCTTCTTCTAAAAAGTCTCCTTCTTCCTCTGTGCAGGGTGTAAATGGTCTCATGTATTAGGATGTGCACACACCTGTGTGCCTGTGTGTAAGACAGCAGAGATAGATGACAGTGTTTGCCACGCTCCTCTCTCGCTTGTTCTCTGTATACAATGTGTATATGTTCTCATATATTTGGGTGTGCATGCATGTGCATGCTTGTGTATGTGTGCGTGTGCGTGTGCGTGTGCGTGTGCGTGTGTGTGTGTGTGTGCGTGTGTGTATGTGTGCGTGTGTGTGTGTGTGTGTGCGCGCGCGCGTGTGTGTATGTGTGTGTGTGTGCGCGCGCGTGTGTGTGTGTGTGTGTGTGTGTGCGTGTGTGTATGTGTGCGTGTGTGTGTGTGTGTGTGCGCGCGCGCGTGTGTGTATGTGTGTGTGTGTGTGTGTGTGTGTGTGTGTGCGTGCGTGCGTGCGTGCGTGCGTGCGTGTGTGTGTGTGTGTGTGTGTGTGTGTAGGGAAGAGGCAGATGTCCAGTGTTCTCCACGTTCCCTCTCTCCCTGTGTGCAGTGTATACATGGTCTTCATGTGTGCTCAAGTGCATGTATGTATTGCATGTATTGCATGTATGTATAGATGTAGATGTTGTTTTTTTCCTCCACCACGCTGTACCTTGTACTGACCTAGGGTCCCTCAGTGAACCTGTACCTCATGAACATGACAGCAAGCCCTGGGGTCTTTCCCTCCCTGCCCTTAGTTCAGAGATCATGAATGAGCACCGCTATGTCTGACTTCTACTTGTATGCTAAACTCCAGTCCTAATACTTATGCAGCAAACACTTCACTCACTGAACCATCTCCCTAGCCACAAGGAAGTCCTTCTTGATGTCTAACTTCCATCTCTCATCTTTTGAAGTCTATACCTCCCTATTTTGAGATTAAAATAAAAATAACTTAGGAAATGGCTTCAAATTGTTAACAGGAACTAACCCCACCTCCAGAGGAGTTGAAGGCAGACTGCTGTGGTGTACAGCTCAGTGCGGTGACAGCCCCTGTGTGTCATGCAGGGTTCCTCAGGAGTGAGGACTGTCTTTCAGCTGGTTTCTTTCTATACGCTGAATTTTTTGTTATGCATCACACTTGCTATGTTGAGACAGGATCACACCGTGTAGTCCGGGTGACTCAGACTTTGGGCCTCCTGCCTCGACTGCCCAAGTGCTGAGCTCATGGCATGGGACGACAGGTGGCCAGTTTCCCTTAACTATTGAGCATGGGTGGGGCTTCCAGACAGGAAGACTTGGGGTCTTTTCTCTTTGCATTCTGAATAAAACGTCAGTATGCATAATACACATTAATACTGAAAATAAGATTTATACAAATAAGTTGTTGAGTAATTAGCAATATAGAACCAGCATTAATGGTGCTGGGAGATGGATAGCAGGCAAAAGCATTAGCCACACAAGCAAGCCTGATGACCCCAGAACCCATGTGAAAGGCTGCATCTGTAACCCTGCACTCCTGCGGTGAAATGGGAGGTGGAGAATCACCTAGAAAGAAGGTCCAGCCGAACTTCAACCACAGCACAGACACAGAAACAAAAGATCCTTTCTTCAAAGTGAGCATTTGGGCAGGATGTACACTTGAGAAGTGTCCAGGGAGAATTGCCCCAAATTCAAGGTCAGCCTTGGGAGAGGGAGCCCATCTCCAAAAGCCATGAGCAAGGCCAGGTGTGGTGATGCACACCTTTAATCCCAGCATTTGGGAGGCAGAGGCCAGAAGATCTCTCTGAGTCCAGCCTGGTCTACATAGTGAGTTAGTTTCAGAACAACTGGGGCTACATAATGAGACTGTCTCAAAAAAAATCAACAAAAATAAAAAATCATGGGGCTGGAGAGATGGCTCAGAGGTTAAGAGCACTGACTGCTCTTCGGAGGTCCTGAGTTCAATTCCCAGCAACCACATGGTGGCTCACAACCATCCGTTATGAGATCTGGTGCCCTCTTCTGCTGTGCAGATATACATGGAAGCAGAATGTTGTATACATAATAAATAAATAAAATCTTTTTAAAAATAAAATAAAAAATCATGCACAAGCAAACACAAAACCCACCAGTAGAAAGCCTGTGGGAGTCCCCTTTCTGTAAATGTCTGGGGACAAGGGACTTTCAAACTCCACATGAGAAAGTGCTCTAGGACTGAGAGATGTCAATTCCCTTGGGATGTGCTTCCCACCTGCAAGCAATAGGTGTGCTGAGATCTGTGGATGGGGCTCTGGAGTACAGCTGCAACCAGGAAGTCAGTTCCTGCTCTCAAGAGTGGAGGCTGCTGGTTCTGATGAGAATTCAGACTCTTTCATATGGGCCTTTTTCCTGAGCCCCTTGGGGACTCAGAGCTGTAGTAAAGCCCCTGGGGTCATGCATCTCCACTCAGTCTTCACTTCAGATGTTGCTTGCCTTTCCTTATGTGTGCTCACTATCCAAATTGGTAACTATCCAAATGCTCCAGGATCAGACAGTTTTGAAGCCTCAGTGTGATGCCATAGTGGGAAATTCCACACCCACACAGGGCCTCATCCAATGGGCTTACTCAAAATGCAGGCTCACTAAACACATTGCATGAAATCACCTTCAGGCTATTTGTATAGGGTGTATGTGGGACATCTGTGGACTGCTTGTCTGGACTTGAGTTCCATCCTCAAGATATTTCATTATGTATACATAAATACTCCCCAAACCAAAACACTTCTGGCTCCAGGGATGTTCATAATGATATTCAACTTGTACCCATTTTTATCATGGATGACCGTGAATTTCTCATAGGGCAAAGCAGATTCTCAAGCCCATGTTTTGTGTTGTTTGATCTCCAAGAAGCATAGCAAGCTGGAAGCTGCTGCTGAACTTTGGGATACAAACAGGAGCCCCAAGAGAATCTAAAGCTTGTGCTGCTCTGGAGCTGTCTGTAGGTTTGAGGGGAAACAAATTCTAGTGGTACCTTGCTGGGTCCTGCAATTGGGGGTCTGCAGCCCTGGGGGCTCAGGGAGTGTAGTCCAGGAGGGCCGTGGTCTCCACCCCCAATGCACCAACACCTCCAGTATTGCCTCCTCTGGGTCACCCAGATCAAACACAACAGAGAGGAGGGGCACACTTAGAACTCAGCAGGAGCCTTTTTTTCAAGACAAGGTCTTGCTATGTAGCCCTAGCTGTACTGAAACTCACTCTGTAGACCAGGCCAGGCCTCAAACTCAGAGATCTGCCAGTCTGGGATTGAAGGTGTGTACCACCACACTTGGCTAGCCTACAGTCTTTCAGACCTCTGACTGCCTTTTATTCTTGCTCAAACATCAAAGAGGAACTCTTTCTGTTCTTGTTCAAGGACAGCAAGAAACCAAAGGGCGCTGAGTGGCATGCTTCAAAGACTGTTCATGCAGGAACTTCTCCCAACTGCTCTGAACTTGTTTTAAATGCTACTGTTTGCACTGAAAACTCAATCCCAGCCAGGCATGGTGGCACACACGTGTAATTCCGCCATGCAAGAGGTGGAGGAGGAAGATAAGGAGGTTGAGGCCAGCCTGAGCTATGTGATTCCCCCGTCTCAATAAAAAACAGGACAGAACAAATGAAGCCCTCCGGGGCCACCACTGCCAGCCTTCCCTCCCCAGCTTCCTCCTGACAGGACAAGTCTAGGGCAAGGCCATGGTTAGGGCTGCCATTTCAGCATCCAATGCAGCCGACCCTGTGATCTAGGACACATGACCTGAGGCCTCTCTAAGCCTCAGGTGTCTCCTCTGGGAAAGGCATGAGGACGAGGGGAGTGGGAGCTGCCATCTTCAAGCCTCTCCCACCCCAGCTTCTAGAAAAAACGGCTGAATCCTCTCAGAGCAGGCCACAGTCCCAACATCCATCTCCCCTAAGATGGCTCCGATTCTGTCTAGAACAATTCCCCACTATGAGTCAGTATCATTATGTCCCATGCCCCCCCCCCCCCGTCTGAAGGAGGACTTCCTTAGTTTTTCAGAACGCTCCTCTCGCTACTCTGTGGCTCTTTCCCTGAACCACTTGTAGAATAAGAGGCCTGAAGGCAGGGCACAGTGGTTCACACCCGTATTCCCCAGTCCTTGGGAAACTGAGGTGGGAAGACAGTAAGTCTGAGACTAGCCTGGGCTACACTGTGAGACCCTGCCTAAAAGATAAGGTGAGCCCCGTGATGTGGAGCAGGAGCTTCTAGAGGGATCAAGAGGCCCAGTCCCAGTCCCTCTTTTTGTAACTTGCCATGTGTTCTTGGGTAGGTGAGTGACCTTCCTGGCTCTGCCTACATCTGACTGGAGAGAGGTAGACCATAGGATCTGAGGGTCCATTCTGTCCTATCTGGGGAGAGATCTACCATCTACAGACAGCCTGTGAGAATGAGCATGCCTGCAGCCTTGGGCTGCCACGCTCATCCATGAAATCCTTTCATCTTCCGAATCAAAGGGTGGTTTCTACCCGCCCGCCCTCTGGCCTTGACCCTTTCCTCTGGACATGGGGACAGGCGAGGACCCGGCTCATCAAAGTCCAGGCTTTAGGGACCTCACATTTCCCTCCTGTCTAGCTTTCCCCAAACAGCAGGGTCAAAGTCCACAGAAATTGACACCAGGGCAGACAGGCAATAACTCTACCTTGGTTCTTCTTGCTGTCCTCTTGGGGAGGAGAGCCCAGCACTACTGCAGCAGTAAGAGGCAGGATTCATGGAGGGCTTTGGAACAAACAGGTAGGGTTGGAGGCCCTAAGTGAAGCTGTTTAGACAGGGAGCCAAAGCTCCCCACCCTTACTTCTCTGGCCCATTATTTCCCAAGTTCCAGGCTCTATGGGCAGTTAAGCCAACAGTCAACAGCCAGCTTTAGGGCTTTGATTTTGATGCCAGATTCCACAGCTGGGAATAAAATGTGGAAAAGGAGACACTGTGGTTTGTTAGGGGTCTGGTGTTTGCTGCCACAGTCTCCCTCAGCCTTCTATGTCCCCAAAGTTAGGGCCAAGACAGGGTGAGGTAAGGACAGCCTGCCACCAGCTCAGTTGTGGAGTGCGTAGTAATAGCCTTGTTGCTTTATGGGGTGGGGGTTCTCATACCCCAGGCCTTATTTGAATGTCCTTCAAACTGAGACATTTTTCTTTTTCCTTTGTTTGTTTGGTTGGTTTGGTTTGGTTTGGTTTGGTTTGGTTTTCCAGACAGGGTTTCTCTGTTTAGACCTGCCTGGCCACCCTGGAACTCACTCTGTAGACCAGGCTAGCCCTGAACTCAAAGATCTGCCTGCCTCTACTTCCCAAGTGCTAGGATTAAAGACGTGTAGGAATCCACCTGGGGTTCCTTTTTGTTTTCTGAAACAGGGTTTTGTGCAGCTCAGGTTGGTCTCAAACTCACTGTGTAGTCAAGGCTGGCTTTGAACTCCAGATCCTTCTGCCTTCATGCCTGAGTGCTGAGGTTATAGCTGGAGCTATAACCACAGCCAGCTTCTTCCTGTTGCCCACATGGGGAACTGGGATTAAAGAAAGCTGATTTGGGCACTAGTAGGGGGCAGTATGCTTGGTTCCAGATACCCAGAGCCTCAGTTACAAGCTTGAGGGAGATGCCGTCTCCCTCTGGGGGTTAACTCCCCATCTGGAACCTTGTTGGGAGGCAAATGGCCATTGGTCAAGGAGCTTATGGTGTCTAAACCAAATTCTGTTGGACCCATGGTGGGTGATAACGGGCACACCAGAGCCACTGTAGACTGTGAGATGACATGTGCCCTGCCAAGCATCCCCCTCCACTGGCTTCATGCTGGCCTTGAATCTGGTGAACTGGTCCATTGTTGTCTCACTCTCTGAACCTCAGACATTGGTGCCCAAACCAATCTTAGATGTCTGTATGTGTGGGAGTTTCACACCTATCTCTCTTATTTTTTCTAGTACCCTACCTGTCAGTCCCCGCAGGATTCTCTTTCCTGTGGTCAAGATGGACTCCTCTACAAAGCCAAATTGGCCCCCAATGGAAGGTGAGACAGCACTGATTAACACCGGGCCTACTCAAAACAGGATTGAAACCCTAGGTCCCCTTACTGTGTGAACCTGAGCCTTACCTTTCCTCAGCCTGACACAGTGCACGGGCCATCCCCAGCAGTGCCTGGAAGCCGACAGACACTAGAGAAAGGGGCTATTTTAAAGCCCTGGCTGTCATCTGGTGGGAGGAACACCCACCTCATTCAAGAGCACTTCCCAGTACACCTGGGACTTGGCGTCTCTGGTTCCCGCGCCCTCACCCTCACTCACTTGGGTAGCGAAAGTAAAACTCGTTGTCCACGTTACTGTGGTTGCCCCAGTGCCATAAGGCAGCGTCGGTTTCGTGGTTGTAGCGGACAAAGACCGCAAACAGGAGGGCGGTAGCGCCCTGGAAAAGCAGGCACAGCAGCGGCAGGACCAGGCGCCGGTGGCGAGGAGTGCGGGCCATGGACACGGTTGTGCTGCCTCGGGCTCCAGCAGTGCTGTGCCAGCCAAGCTCTCCTGCTGCTGTATAGATGAGGCCCCGCCCTCCGGAGGCCGTGCTGTTCCTGGGGGAGCCCCACCCCTCAGCTTGAGGCTGGCGAGGACTAGCCCCGCAGGTCAGGTCCTGTTTCCCATGGTCTTGCAGAGGCACAAGAGATGTTGTCCTTATACAACTGTGCCCCAGCTGCCAAAACGGTGATGGGAGGAGAAAGGGGTCTCACCTCCTCAAACCTAGCTTTAGAAACAGTAGAATCCAAGATACTAGCATCCCTTAAAAGTCCTACCTTGTCCCTCCAAAGTTAGGACAAGAGATGGAAAAAGTAAGGGTTATTCGATCTTTCCCCTCCTGTAAAGCATAGCTGGAGAACGGAGGTAAGACAGGGCTCTCCAGGCTTGGAGGACTAACCAACCGCTTGAGCCTCCGCTGGGCGTCTCTTGCTGTCCCATCCCAGTCAGCATTTCATTCTCTGGTGGATGGAAGTCTGGGAAGGAGTCTCTTCCTACAGAGCTGTCCACTGGGGGCCTGGCTAACAATAAGAAATCAGACTCTTGAGAACTTACTTTGTTTGTAGAGGTAAACCAGATGGCCCCCTCAGAAGCCCCTGCCTCTACCTGCCTAAGTGCTGAGCCAAGACTGTGGCTCCAAAATGAGGGACTGCAGAGCCCAGAGTCATGGAAGGAGCTGCTATCCACTGGGTGCCAAGTACCTAAAGGACTCTAGCAGGGAGGAACACTAGCACTGTTGGTGCTGGCACCTGTGCCCTTCCTTAGAAATGGGCGGGGATGGTAGAAGGATGGCTTGCTCACCACCTGCTCATTCTCCACTGTCTCATGAGGGACTTGAGCTTCCCTCTGTCCTGCCCTTGTGTGGACTTGGGAGAACACCTCGATTCTAGGTGTCCAGCTTGTTGTCTATGAAAGGCACATGAAAGACCAGAGGTCAGCCTCTGGTGGCACCGCTCTCAGCTGGTACATGTGGGCTGCATTCAGACTTTCCATCACTTCTCAGACAGCAGAAAGGTTGTTTTCAGGTTCCTTCAGGTTTGTTATTTATTTTAAAATACCATGAAGAAAAGTCACACCATGCAACAAGGCTCACATAGCAGAGAGAGACAGAGAGATAGATGGGAGGCGGGCAAGGCCCATCTTTTAAAGGGGAACAAAGCAAATGTGCACAGGTAGTGCTCTTAGTAGCTGCAGCTGTCAGGAACCCAAGGGCAGGCCAGTACAGAACCCAGGGGATATCTGGTAAACAGCCTTTAGATGATGGCTCAGCATCTATGGGACCCCCACCACCACCAGCAGACACCTACTGACCCAGGGATGCTTCCTGAGCCCTGCTTGGGTTCAGCACTTGCTTGGATTGTCCCAGCAGGTCTATACAGGCTTTGGGAGGGGACAGTCCCTTCCAGAACAGGGACTACAGCTCTGGTCTGATGCTAACCTCCGCTATCTCCAGACACCTTCTTTCATTCTCATACTCCTCCAGGACACTCATTCAACAAATACTCATTTAGTGGTTACCCTGGGCTAGGTCCTGGAGCTGTAACCAGGAGGCCCCTGACCACCTGCTGTTAGATCTTGGTTGCTGAATCATGGGAGGGCTTTAGAAGTTCCTTGGAACAGCAGGAAACCTGGGCCAGCATATGGTCAGCACTAGACTTGCACTCGCTTGTGAGGTGTGACCTTGATGTAGTCACATGTGTGACAGTCACCCAGCTGGCATCCTTTCTAGTCCAACAGAGCAAGGCCCTGAGGGCCTTCCCTAAGACTCCCCTGTCAGTCTGCTACCTAGGAAGATTCTCCAACCACCACCCATCAAGCATTAGGAGAGGCCCAGTGCTGGGTCTTTTGATCACCTACGATGTCAGGTCCTTGGTCCTCCCTCCTATGGCGCTGTGAAGTGATGGGCTTCAGCCCTCATTTTTCTCCACTGTATGCCTCTGAGGGACATCTATACCACCAGTTTCCATTCTGGCTAGTCTTGAGGTCGGCCTCCTAATCTCTGACTTTTCATCTCAGTCTTCCAGTCATGACCAGCCAAGCATTTAAAGGGCCAAGGGGAATCTGTGTCTCCTGCCTGCCCTGGCCTGGTCTAGGCAGGTTGTCTCTGAGGAATCAAGTTCCAGAGTTTACTGAGTAACTCAATGTCACTCCAGGATGCTCTCCACCAGGACCACCCCCCTCCTCCTCTGCTGCCTTGGTTCAGGGTCCTAGGAGCTGTCCCTATGAGTCTCATTCATTGACCATCTCCAGTGTGGTTAGGGCACAAAAGGGAAAATCAAAGAAGCTGCAATCATACAGGATACAGGCACTCCTCCCTCTGTCCTCTCTCTTTCTCCCCCTCCCCCTTCTTCCCTTCCTTCCTTCTTCATATCTATAGGGTATGATCTCAGGCATATCATTGAGTGCTTTTGGGGCCCCAGTTTCCTTGTCTGTGAGAATAGTAACTTCCTACAAGGAGTCCAAATAATTCATATATAGATTACTGGCATTTTGGCAAACATTCAATAGATATAGTGATTATTTTAATCTGATTGGCTAAGCAAGGCCAGCAAATGGATCACTAGTGTCAACACTCTGAGGCCCAAGGAAAGAAGCAGATGCAGGGCAGACACTGTCCCCATGCTGACAGTAGGAGCTGGGAGCCTTGTGGGTTTAGGATAGGCAGTTTCTGGAAACATACTCCCTTACTCCCACTTTTTTTTTTTCTGTTGATTTTTTTGAGACAAGGTCTTATGTAGCTCAAGCTAGCTTTGAACTTGCTGTTTAGTGGAGGGGGACCTTGAATTTAGGATCCACCTGTCTCCATTTCCCCAGCAGTAGGATTGCCCGCACATGACATCACACCTGGGTTATTTTGTTTGTTTACTTTTTGAAACAGAGTCTCGCTAGGTAGTCCAAGCTGGCCTCAAACTGGAGGCAATCCTCCTGCCTTAGCTTTCCAAGTGCTGGGGGTTATAGGTATGTGGCAACATGCCAGCTACATACGGTTTTTAAGCATATTTAGGCAAAGAAAGAACTTTCCTTCATTCAACAAACACATATTGAGTACCTGATGTGTGCCAGCTACTGTATTAGACCTTGGGGATATTAACAGAACAAGGTCTAGCTGGTGCGCTGAGCAGGGTTCATCAGGGGAGGCACATCACACTGTAAAATGCGATGATGGAGAGCCTCTCCTAACCTGGGACTCTGGTCCAAGGAGGCATGAGACCTAGGAGAAGGGGGCTCCTTGTTTACCCCAGCCCTCTCCCGTGAGAATAGCAAAAAGGCTATGCCAGGGAGCTCATCTCTTCCCATGTTCTATGTGGATGAACCCCAGACATCATTCTCGCCCAAACCAACAACCATTATGGCACTGTCCAAAAAGAATACTGACACACATACATATTACATACTAATGCAAGGCAGGGCAAAAATTGCAGAGCCATTTCTCTTTAGAGGACTGCCATGTTAGCCTCTGCTAAAACTTTTTAAGGGGGGTTTAAGGAGATGGCTTAGCCAATAAAAGTGTTTGCCTTAGGTCCCAGGAAAAAGCCAGAGGGGGGGGTGCATATCTGCAATCCCAGCACTCTACAGGTGGGAGATAGAGATAGGAGAAACAACTGGAGCTCACAGGCCAGCAATCCTGGAGCATACAGAAACGGTAAGCAAGACCCTGCCTCAGCTAAGTGGGAAGTGACAGCGGACCCCCAGAATGTAGGCCGAACAAGAGTAGATCTAGCTTCCAAGGTCTTTTTTTTTTTTTTTTTTTTT